ACATTAAAAGTTCAATCCCATGAATCTTAATCAGCTTGGTAAAGACAATTTTTCTTTTAAGGAACTATATTGTTAATAAATAGCTCACTTTTAAGATGAAGAATATGTGTACTTGATACACATGCATATACTGATATAGGCAGACATTTGAGTGAATAAAGGAGTGTGAATGACAATTCCCTCTAATCTCAGGTCCCAAGGCTGAACATCTGTTTTCTAAAGACTATAAGGGAACTTTCCCTTCTGGTTGAAACAAACCACTTTACACCATAGCCATCCCATGCTATGAACACTAGGGAAGAAGAATTGAACTTGAAAACTGTCTCTAGATGTATTAGAGCAACAAGAAAAGGAAAGCAAAAGGCTGATATCGTGTGATGTAGAGGTGAGCCCTCCCTGTGGGCATCCATTCCCAGCAAGGCATTTTTCAATATGGAGTTGGCATGAGCCCAAGAATCTGAGAACTCAAGGGAAGTCAAGAGACAGTGAATGGCCTGAGCGGCTCAGCAGTTCAGAGCACCTGCTCCTCATCCAGCGTACCTAGGTTTGGTTACTAGACTCACACCGTATGGCTCACAACTACCTGCGGTCTGTGTTGATATCTGTGGCTCCTGTCATCACCAGAGGCCATGAGGATGCCTGGGGTCTAGGCTGTCATATGTGCCATGTTGGTGCCCAAAGACCATGCCATCACAGGGGTTACCACAAGCTGAATGGCCTGCACTGCCACCTGGGACAATGGAAGCATGAGGGCCTGAGCTGCAGCCCAGGGCCATGTCTGTGTCCATGGCCTTATTATAGTCAGAGTCTGTGTTGACATCCATATCATCTGTTGCAATCAAGGGCTGTGCAGATGCCTAGGAACTGGCCTGGCACCTGGGGCCATGTTGATGTCCAAGGGCTACCCTGCAGCTGGGGCAATGCTGATCTGAGTGGTCAGTGCTACCACCAAGGGTCAGGATGACATCCAGGCCCCAGCTGCTGCTAGGGACCATGTCTGGGTTCATAGTCCCTCCATAGTCAGGTCTCTGTGTTGATGTCCGTGGCCCATGTTGTCACCAAAAACAACAAGGATGCCAGAGGTCTGTGCTACCACCTGGGGCCATGTTGGAGTCTGGGGACCATGCTACTGCTGGGCCCATTCCTATCTGAGAGGCCTATGCTGCCATACTGAGCCATGATGACAACCAAGCCCAAGCTGTTGCTGATGGCCATATCTAGGTCTGTGGCCTTGATGCAGCTGGGGTCTGTGTTGATGTCTGTTGTCCAAGTTACCACAGGGGCCCATATGAACCATGTGTTGAAGTACAAGGACTGAGCTGGCCCCACCTCTCACTGGTCCAGGAAAAGCTGCCCCCTCCCGCCCCCTACCACTTCTCCTACCTGCTACCACTGGAGAGCTGAACACCCTACCTCTCCTCATCCCACCCCTTATAGGAGGCCCCCCTGTGCACTTGGGAAAGCTGGCCCCACTCCTCATCATGGGTATGGGAGAGCTAGCTCTGACCCTCACCTGAGGTGGGGTGTTCCCAGCAGCCCAGATTGACCAACTCAGCTACCACCCAGGTACACATCCAGTGCTTTGAGTTGGCACTCCCCAACATCTACCCCATCTATGCCCTGCCAGAGTGCATGAGGGACTGGCCCTGCTCCACAGCCACAGGATCTCCATAACTCAGGGCAACAGCAGGATATCTGAGAGGAGATTCAGTGAGGGTACAGCACTGATGGTGTACCAGATGTCAGAGGCCTTGAACCAGACTAATAACTCACTACACAATGAACATTTGCAAGTAAAGCTGATTAGACAAAAGAGCATACTGCATGATAGACTGCAGCTCCCAATGCCACTAAGATGAATGAAGAGGCAAGAGAGGCAGGAAAAATGGAGGAGGGAAGTGTTTTTGTTTGTTTGTGTGTTTAATTAATATTCTTATTTATATTTTTATTTTTATTATTACTTTTAAGTTTTCCTTGTGGGGAGGAACTACAAGGGTAAAGGGCAGATACAGAGGGACTGGGATGAGTGGAACTGGGGTTCATGATGTGGAATTCCAAAAGAATCAATAAAAAAATATGTTTTAAAAAAATGATAAGATAATGACCAGCAATTTTTCAAAAAATGAAATCATCAAGTCACAGCCACAGATGAAAGAAGAGAGAGAAAGGCAGGCAAGCAGGCATATACACATGTGCACAAGCACACACAAGCACACACACACACACACACAATGTTCAGGACCCTGAACTTCTGATCATGGGAAGTACAATGGCTTTGAGGGACAGTGAACAATACAAACCTAAATGGCCTCGCTTACCATCTTGAAAGTTTCTAAAACAAGATGCTAGGCAAAGGAACCAAAAAAAGCTCAGCTCATCCCCGCCCTGGAAACATAAAATGTGAGTCTGAGAAGACCAACTACCTGAAGTCTTAAGAGACAAGACTGCAGGACAAAGTAAGAACACCAAAAGTCTGTAAAGGGTCACCTCAGACATGACTTTAGTTCATGGCAAAAGACAAACATGAGGGACTAGTGCTTGACAGTTGTGTGGGTCACAAGGAGAGATGCCCCACAGTGGAGCAGGTGTCCTGGAGCAGTACTGCTCTGGCCCAGCCTAATGAGATTTCAAAGCCAGTAACTGAGTCAGTTATCTGCATTTTAAACCCAAGTTCCTTCCTCACAGGGCTGCAAAAAAAAGAAAAAAAAAATGCCAGCATCCCCAAATGTCTATTTTCCCATCAAAAACTGCCAAGCATGCAAAGCAGCATGAACTAAAAACAATGAAACAAAACCAAACATTTTTAACTTATCAAGAGCTAACAAAGATGTCACAATTCACAGGTAAAGGGATTGGAAGTATAGGGTTTCCACTGTTGTGATATACAACACTATGATCAAAAGAAACCTGGGGAGAGGGGTTTACTTCAGCTTACAGTTGTAGTCCACCATCTAAGAGAATCAGGACAGTAACTCAAGGTAGGAGTATGGAAGCAGAACTGATGCAGAGGCCACAGAGGGATGCTGCTTACTAGCTTGCTCCTCATGGCATGTTCAGCCTGCTTTCTTACACAATTCAGGACCACCTCCCCAAGGGTGGTACTATCCACAATGGGCTGAGCCCTACCACTTCAATCATTAATAAATTAAAAAAAAAAATGCCCACAGGCCAATTTTAGTAGAGCATTTTCTCAGTTTCTCTTTTTTCAAATGACTCTAGCTCTAGCTCAGCAGTTCTCAACCTGTGGGTCTCAAACGCTTTGAGGGTCGCTAAGACCATCAGAAAACACAGATATTTACATTCCAATTCATAACAGTAGCAAAATTGTAGTTACAAAGTAGAGACAAAAATAATTTTACAGTTGGGGGTCCCCACATCATGAGGAACTGTATTAAAGGGTCCCAGCATTAGAAAGGTTGAAAACACTGCTCTAGATTGACAAAATAACAGACAACCATCACAGCTCTCAGAGAGGCTACCGAGATGGCTGAGTTGGCAAAATACCTGCTGTGCAAGCAGGAAAACCTGAGTTTGATCACCAGAATCTACATGAGAAAGCCTAGTATAATGCACATGCTTGTAATCCCAAGGCTGGGGAGACAGAAACAGGAAGATTTCTGGGACTTCTGGCCAAGCAGTGTAGCCAAATCAGTGAGCTACAGATTCAATAAAAAATAGATTAATTATTAAAAATCTCAAGAACAAAGTAGAAAGCAATCAAGGAAGAAATCTGGTATCAACTTCTGGCACACAAAGGCACCCACAGGTGAGCACACACTTGAGCACACATACACACACACACACACACACACACACACACACACACACACACACACACACTTAGAGTGCTCTCATAACTATATTAGAGGAAACAGCAATTAGCAGCACGAAGATAACAGGCCCAAGCAAAACTGAAAACCAGTGTCTGAGAACAAAATAAAGCAGTAGGAGTAAAAAACGACCAGACCTGCAAAGAAAGGTTGAGATGAGTAAAACAGCAACAGAAACTATCCAAAACCAAATACAGAGAGAGTTAGCCTTGAGCTACAGCCAATCTGCAAATAACTGAAGTCCCTGAAAAGGATAACAACATAAAGAAGAAAAGAAAAATATTTGAAATTAACAGCCAAAATTTTTCAAAGTTATATGAAAAGTATAAATTCTCACATCCAAGAAACTTGATGACCCAAAGATCAAGAAAACCACATTAAGGTAGATCATAATCAAACTACCTTACATCAGTTGTAAAAAAGACATCTTAAAAGCACATTTTTTAAAATCACATTGACAGAGAGGTTTTTACATATTATTTCTCAAAAATAATGCAAGTGGGGCTAACAAGATGACTCAGTGACTAAGGGTCCCGCCACCAGCCTGACAACTCAAGTTCAATCCCCGAAGCCCACATGACGGAAAGAAAGAGGCTCGTCCTGCAAGTTGTTTGCCAACCTCCTCACTCACTCTGGCGTGTGCAGCTACACACAGGAAAAAAAATCAACTCAAGTGAAGAGACAAAAACCCAACATCTTTGAATATTAACGTATTTGAAAGTAACTTTAGGGGCTGGAGAGATGGTTCAGTGATTTAGAGCATTTGTTGTTCTTGAAGAGGACCAGCTCATTCCCCAGCTCCCACAAGGTGGTTCACAGTCGCTGGTAACTCCAGTTCTAGGGGATACACAGATAGACTTGCAGGCAAAACATTCATACATATAAAAATAAATAAGCCTAAAAAAGTAATTTCAGAGAATATATACTTACCCTCTCCCATAAGAAAGACCAGTCAATGACTGAACACAGAAAGTTTTTAACACAAACTAAACTTTCATACATTTTCATATATTTTAAGACTATTTTACAGTCTTTTAATAACTAACCAAGATCAACAAATAAATCCAAAAAAAAGTACAATACCTAATTTTGTCTTAAGGGTCTTTACATTCTCAAGTTCTTGCTCTAATTCCATTATGTTGTATTCCACTGATGAAGACAGCCCTACAAAAGCAAAAGTATTTGTAAGTGTAGCAGTGGAAGCCTTACACTGGACAGCAGGTAGACCGCTAGTTAAAATACTAAACATGTGGTAATCACTGACAGCTGGGAAGAACAAATACGGCTGTGAGTCACATAAAAGCTCACTACTTAGAGCAGCGGTTCTCAACCTATGGGTTGCAACCCCTCTGGAGATCAAACAACCCTTTCACAGGGGTCACCTAAGACCATCAGAAAACACAGATATTTACATTATGATTCATAATAGTAGAAAAATTACAGTTATGAGTAGCAGCAAAAGTAATTTTTTTGGTTGGGGGTCACCACAACATGAGGACCTATATTAAAGGTCCGTGGCATTAGGAAGGTTGAGAACCACTGATTTAGAGCATTTAAGCTCTTGATGGCTGAAAACCACATTTCTTGGAACAATGTCTTTCCTTGCTTGATCTATTATATTAATCTTTTTTTTCCCATGTGCTTACTATAGCAAGAACAAGGAGTCAAGACCTTCCGCTCTCTAGTTTGCTTCCCTAAGACGACAATTATCACCAGTCTGGCTGGTGCTTCCACAACTTTCTTCACATTCATATTTAACTTCTGTCTTAGATATGGGTTTTCTCACTCATCCAGTTTCTTAGACAAATGTCAAACCAGGCACATGAGCTGACTGTTTGTTGTTGCCTGTCAATAAACATTCCCAGCAGCTGAGTATGCAGACCACAATCTGGATGTGCTACAACTTCACTCAGCATTACTTCATTTGTCAGTATCTGGTGAACATTCACATGTCCAGTTCATTTGCTTCTATTATCTTTGTGAGACAGATTTCCAAACTTCAGAATGGTGGGCCATTTACAGTTTTAAAAGCTTTTTCAAGTTTATAGCTCCCAAATGTTTTTATGTACTATAATAATTCAAATTATTTAGCTTTTGAAAATCCCTATTTTCAAAATGCCTATATCCTCACTAGCACTGGATGTGGCCAACTGTTGAACTTTTGCGCATCTTCCTAAACGCATCAGATCCCATCTCATGTTTCTCACATGGATTTGCTCCACTCCTACGTTCTACTTGTCTCTCCAATGGTCTATGCACAGTATCTTTCTGTTCCTTCTGCTTGCTCTCTTAAATCCTGAAACAGATAAATTTCAAATGTGCCACGTTAGGTTTGCTCTACTGTTAAGGGATTGTTTTCATCATGAATGTGCATTTAGTTGCTGAGGGTCTGTCTCCCTCATTATATCTCTAAGACTGTTACATTTTTCTTATAAAACATACTTTATCATTTCATATCATTTTCTTAAATGTTCTGCAACCTAAAATCTTTTTTGAGAACTTTTTTATTGTTCTTGTTGTTTCGAGACAGGGTTTCTCTGTGTAGTTTTGTTGCCTGTCCTGGATCTCGCTCTGTAGACCAGGTTGGCCTCGAATTCACAGAGATCCGCCTGGCTCTGCCTCCCCGAGTGCTGGGATTAAAGGTGTGCGCCACCATTGCCCAGCCTTTTTTGAGAACTTTTAAGTTTACTTCTTTTTTTGAATTTTACTTGCCTCGCATTTGTGTGTGTGTGTGTGTGTGTGTGTGTGTGTGTGTGTGTGTGTGTGTGTGTGTTTCCCTGTAGTCATTATCTAGCTAAATCTTATTTGAAGTTTAATCTCTATCAGTTTAGAATTCATTAGTAGCTGGTAGGTGGTAGCACATACCTTTAATCCCAGCACTTGGGAGACAGAAGCAGGCGGATCTCTGTGAGTTCAAGGCCAGCCTGGTCTACAAAGTGAGTTCCAGGACAGCCAGAGCTGTTACACAGAGAAACCCTGTCTGGGAAAAAAATTTCATTTGTAATAAGCAAATGAACTTGACTCCCTACTTAAAATAGCAAAGCAGTTCACAGGATAGGCCAACAGAAAACTTTCCAGTAAAGGCTAGCCCTGGATAATACATATACAAGCAAAACTAAATGGACTCAGAAGGTTATATATGCATTTGTGCATAAGTGTATGTACTTACATGTAATAATAATAATAATTAAAGAAGATATCATAAATTTGGGAGGGTGGAGGAGTTGAAGGGGGAGATAGAAAGGACCAGTTGATGTAGATGCAATGCTCATGTATGAAATTCTCAAAAATAAATAAAACTATTAATTAAAAAAAAAAGAGCATATACAAGCAAGCAGAGAAGCCCTAGTGTCAGGAATCGTGTTACAGCAGTATGAGGAAGAGAGAAAGCCCTGAACGAATGAAGTCTTGAGTGACTGTGTGTTGTTGATATGGGTACAGCCATGTCAAGGACCACAAAGCCTCAGAGCCATGGGAAAATGAATGGCAAGGCCTTCCTTCCTGGTCCAAGTTCAAATGTTGATTATGAATGCAGAAAAATGTCCACCATAGCATTCCCCCCTCAGCAGCCTGAAGACTGCTATCCTACAGAGACATTCCTACTCAGATTAACTAAACCTGCCTCCTTGTCCAGCTATATACAATAACCCTGCCTCCCTATTCAACTCAATATAATAAACACACTGAGTTTTTTACTTGCTTTGGTTTCCCCATCAGAGAGACCAGTTCAACAGAATCCAATTTCTTTCTGTGTCTGTCTTTTCTTCATTGAAACTTAGAAATAAGAAAACAGGCCAGAGTGTCAACAATAAGTAAAGTATAAGAGGTAAGAATGTCAGAGACCCCGTTAGCCAGACTTGTCTCTGGAGCCTTGATGAACACAGCCCAACAGGGAAAAGCCAACCGAATCAGTCACTAGACTCCAGAATGAAAGCTTAGGAGTGCTTCCTTCCTCAGCTAGGAAAGGTGAGAGGGAAAAGGAAAACTGCAAAGCTTTGGCTTTATCGGAGAGAAGGCAAGCAGGACCTGTTCTTCCATAGCCAACTCACCTATTCCATTCAGTAAAATACAGTACCTGCATTCAGAATACTCAGTACATCAGCTTTCCACACATTTGTCTTCGTTTTCTGTGAATTTTAAACATTTTATCCTTACCAGAATGAAGTGTGCACAAAGCTCAGTGTCAAGCATTTACTTGGACTTGTTTCAATGCCTGCTTCTGCATAATGCCCCCTCACTAAGGGGTGTTTTGCTGATTCTTCACACCTCATGGTGGCCAGGAAGCAGAGAGAGAGGAGAGAACCAAAGACAGAATAACCTTTCAAGGACATGTCTCCAGCTTCTTGAAGCTAAGAGCTACTTTCTAATGCGGTGTTTCTCAACCTGTGGGTCACAACCCTTTTACAGGGGTCACCTAAGTTCATCTGAAAACACAGATATTTACATTATGATTCATAACAGTAGCAAAATTACAGTTATGAAGTAGCAAGAAAAATAATTTTACGGTTGGGGGTCACCACAACACGAGGAACTGTATTAAGGGGTCACAGCATTAGGAAGGTTGAGAACACGCTCTAATGTTTGCAGCATCCTGCAAACTAGCACCACCAGCTGGAGCCTTTAATCATGCGTCTACAGCTTCAGCACAGGTTTTGGGAAGTCTGCAGCAGTTCTCAGTCTTACCCCATGAATGTCTCCTCGTCAATGACACTGTAAACTGTGCAGGATCTTTGTTCCTAGTGTTCTTGCTGTGAATACATGTCTGTGCAGTGTTGAAAACATGGTGAGCATTTTCAATCCCCAAATCCACATGTCAGATCAGAACAATTTCTTAATCCTGTCATAGATTTTGTATATTTTTTCTCTTAGCCCTATCTGGAAGAATGTCTTGTTAACTAGAGGCTGGCTCTACTGAAAAGCTCTCTAAAATTCTTACCTCTTATATTTTACTTATTTTTGTCATTCTGGCTTTTTTTTTTTTTTTCTAAGTTTCAAGAACACCTGTCCCAGGTGATAGAGCTTTGACCTTTCTCATGAAAATGGCCTTCTTGTCCATCTCAGGGTATGAGGAGTGGTTCATCCTTCCTCCATGCACCCCATATCCACATGCCCATGCCTGCTTGTGTTCACATGAGAGGCTTTCCTCAGTCACCAGTCTTGGTTGTTTGTGTTTTAAGAACGAAGCGATGAGAAATAAATGCTTGTTTGAACTTCAGAAAAGATGAGTTTCACTCATAAGAATCCAGTGATTCCCTACTGCTAGAGCTGCAGAGCTTTCCTCCTGGGCAGGTTCCTGAAAAGAACCCTCCTGACCTCCTTGTCAAATACAGTTCAGCTGTACAAGTAGAGAAGGATGGAGCCTATGTATTTTGTCTGTAAGCACTCCCACCCTTCTGAGATGGACAAGAGGCACGGGCCTGGTACCTTGGATGGAAGCAAAGAATGTGGAGATTAAGTCACTTCATGGCAGTTTTTCAACAAGCTCTCCCTTTCTTAGTTCATACTTCCTGAGTTGGTGGTGCCACTTTGTGACTTTGGGGGATTCTAAGGTATAAATCAGCATAGGTGACTTAGGAATGGGCTTCTTTTGTTATGTTAAACTGGCTAATTCCAACATTTTCCTGCCTGCTAAATTCCAAACTTTTATTGTGGTTTTTCTCCTTGGAATTTTCTGTCCTCTTAGGTTTATGATTCTCTGAAACTCACTGTTCTCATCTGTGGATTTACATGTACCTATCAGGATGCTTTCCACTAGGTCACAAAACTCTAAGTAGCTTAAAGTAAGGAAGCAGTTTCACATAATCAGAATTTAGGAGACAGCAAGCCTCCATGTGGTTTTCCAGTAGCTCAACAGAGATGTCAAGGGACTAAACTGGGCCTCCCACAAGCTAGACTGGTGTGTGAGGAGTGGGGCTTTGCCCTGTAGGCAGGACAAACCAATGTGTGGACTATTTATCTCCCTGGCCTTTATTTCTTCTTTTCCTTCTTTCCCCAGCTACAAGGACTTTTGTTGATTCTTTCCTCAGGTTCACGGGTACTTCAGTGCTTACCTTCTCTTTTGTAGTTCTCCTCCTGGGATAGATTTTTTTCATTATAATATCAGTATAAACAGCCTTAGCCTACAGCCTGCTTTTATGTATAGAGTACTGTGTCAAGGTAAAAACTCTCACCACCATGTTAGCTAATCATTTCCTTACTGCTTCTCACCCTTTCCTCCAAATACTCGTCTTGCTGACATATTATTTCAAGATGAATGCTACACTCTTCCTTCAGTGTGAAGTTAGAATAGTGTCTGGCAAAAAAGCAGTTCTCAATGTAGAGATGTGAAATGAGTACATAAACACTGCTTTTTTGCCCTAATCAATAAGTAACATCTTGGGGAATGTATGTGTAATCCTTTACAACTGCATACATTATTTAGTGGCCTGTAGCAAGTTGCATGTGCTAAGTTTGATGCTGAACTATATTAAAAATATTTTTATTAAAAAATAATTATTCATGTAATATATTCTGATAATAATTTCCACTGCCCCAACTCCTCCCAGCTCCACCCCACCTACTTCACCCTCCTAATTATTTTTTCTTTCCTTTCTTTTTCTCTCTCTTTAGAAAACAAACAGGCAAACAAAAATCAAATCAGAATTTTGTTGTTGTTTATTCAAGACAGGGTTTCTCTTTGTAGCCCTGACTGTCCTGAAACTCACTCTGTAGACCAGGCTGGCCTCAAACTCAGAGATCCACCTGCCTCTGCCTCTCAAGTGCTGGGACTAAAGATGTGAATCACCACTCTGGCTAGAATATTTTTTAAAGAAAGAAAAAAACACAAGAAACATATACACACAAACAAAACCCATAAAAAAAAGAAACCATTATATACAAGCAAATGAGCAGTAAGACAAAAAAAAAAATGTCCAAACAAAGCAATATGAGACAAAAGTCTACAAAAATACCATTGAGTTCATTTTTGGTTTGGTTTGGTTTGGTTTGATGGCCATTTACTACTGGGCCTGGGGCCTTTCTAGCCTTAAGTGTGGTTAATATACCCAATGAGACTCTGTTGGAGAAAACCAATTTTTCTTTGTAAGTGGTTTGTCAATTGGAGACAGTTCCTTGGTTAGGATGGGAGTTTGTTCTACTTTCTCCTCTCAGTGCTGGGACCCTGGCTGGCTTGAACCTGTGCAGGCCCTGTGTATACTGCTACAGTCTCTGTGGGTTCATACGTGCATCAGTCCTGTTGTGTCTGGAAGACACTGTTTCCTTGGAGTCAGCCACCACCTCTGGCTCTTACAATCTTTCCACCTCCTCTTTTACAGTTTCCTGGGCCCTGAGGGGAGGAGGAGTTTGATGAAGACATCCCACTTAGAACTAAGCATTCCAAAATCCCTCACTCTGCACATTGTTCAGTTGTGGGTTACTGTGGTAGTACCCATCTAACTTTCGATGGTGGCTGAGCAAGACACTACTGTATGAGTATAGCAGAATGTATACATAGGAGTCATTTTATTGCTATGTTCCTTTAGCAGGACAATAGTATTTGGTTTTCCCCTAAGCCCATGGCCTATCAAGTCTCATGTTCCTGGCTACCCGAGCAGTGTCAGGCATGGGTTCTAACTCCTGGAGTGGGCCTTAAATCCAACCAGAGTGGTTGGTTACTCCCACAATGTTTGTGCCACTATTGCACTAACACAGTATGCAGGTAGGTCACTGTTGTAGATTGCAGAGTTCATAGTTGGATTGGTGGTTACCATTTTCCTCTAGTAGCATGGAAAGTACCTTCTAGTACCATATACACTAGGGTGAAGGCTCTAGTTAGGCACCAGCTCAACTTCTTTGTTGCACTCTCTTCTGTAAATAATTTTTCACATCATTTCTGGAAGTCAAATTCTTAGAGGATAAATTATCTTTTAAATCCCTGTTCAGGGTCAGAAGCATAGAGCACTGACATGACAGGTATGGATGTCCATGTGGCAGTCTCTCTCCTATGACCCTCTCTGGCTTTGAATCTGCATTCAAGTCTCAGCTTGATAAATTTTTCCTGCTATTTACCATCTTTTCCCACTTGTTATTTTCTCTCCATCTAGATATGTGCTTGCATTATACCTCACCTGTAGTCAATATTTATTATTTCATGTGATTTCCTTCTCCTATATTCTGATCTGTGATTCACAAGAGCTTTTCCATTACACTTGTGCTTCCATTGTCTTTTCCATTCTTTAGCCATCCTCCTTTAGTTTTACACTGAGTCCACCAGGTACCCTGTATGCCTGTATAATATGAAGACCAACACATTCACAAGTTCTAGGGATTAGGACTGGGCATCTTTGGGTAAGCATTATTCCATCTATCTTAAGGGATATTTTTTATTTGCTTTTATTTTCTTTAAGCCCTGGGTAGTTTTGTTTTCTAATACATCTCCTTGGCCCATCTTGTTACTTTTGGAAGTCAGGAACAAATTCTGTCTTGACTCTCCAATTAAGTATTAAGTAGGTCTCACTTGTCAGGTTATCCTCTTCTTCACTGGCCCTACACAAGTGCCCCTGCTTCTGTTTTCTGTCTTCACTGTGGCTTCCTTTACACCTAATTAAGTCAGGTGGTCCTTCATAAAGCTGGAAAGTCACCAGCTCTTGGTCTTGGGGATTAAAGGGCAAGTAGCCAGAAGAAGAAGGCTAACCTGAGTAGTAGGGCAAACAGTGACCATTCTCAAGCAAAGGTCCAAAGGAGTGCTGGACCACATAGGTATCACTGTGGAGATTGAAAGCCCCTCTTTTGTAAGCCCCTAGAAAAGTCACAGATCCTCAGTCCCCCAGTTGTCCCCCTCTCATTTCTGCCCATCTCTAGAGACAGCGATCCAGTGCCACATGTTAGTCAAAAGTTCCATGTTGTTTCCAGAGTGCCTTGGCATCATTATTTTATTCATTAATATCCAACTTATATTTTTACAAGAGTAGGGCTAAATATAGCACAGAGATACTCATGCATTGTGAACTAGAGCTACTACAGTTTGACTACAAATTTAGTTTTGAGGTTCTGGCAACTAAACCATAAAGGAAACACTTAGGTTACAAAGTTAGTGGGCATCTCCACAGGAAAGAGGACTTGCAGAGGACAGCACAGCAAGATTGTCAAGTATCTTTAAATCAAAATGCAAAATATCTAACAGTGATATTTCACTTCCAGTAGTCAGTTTGAGGCTTGGAGAATAACCAGTGAACATTCTGAACTTTGAAAGAGAATAGCTACCAGGACAATGTTCCTGGTGTCTATATGAAATTAAGTAAAGAGACTAGTAGCATACCTTGTGGTATATCTGCAGAGCTCAATACAAATGTCTATAACACTGAATGCATGCTTCTTCAAAGAAAAATAGCTGAAGTGATATTTTTTTAAATTCTACTCTGTGTGTATGGGTGTCCCCCCCCACACATGTATGTCTGTGTACCACATGCATGCAGTGCCCTCTCAGAGGCCAGAAGAGGGTGTCAGACTCCCTGTAACTGGAATTACGGATGGTTGTAAGCTGTTGTGTGGGTGCTGGGAATTAAACCCAGATCCTCTGGTAGAGCAATCAGTGAGCCATCTCTCCAACCCCTTGAAGTCACATTTCTGATATGTGCTATTATTTTAGGTGGCCCAACTACAAACACAAAAGAGGTAATTGGTAAGCACTATTTTTCACATAAAAAAATCAAGAAAACATTCCTACTATCCTCAGATAAGTCACCTGAAATAATAGTTTTCCAGGACACTTCCCTTCCTTCATTACATGGTAATATATTAATAGCCAAGCAAAAAGTAAGCTTTGTGGGACAGAGGCCTTCACTATAAATGGTAACACTGACTAGTAGGAGGACTTATGACATATTGTAAACAAACACTCAACTATTATGTAAATTTAAGTTGCATCAAAAATGAAAATATCCTAAAAACTATATTATCATTATTTTATTTCAAAACAAAACTAAAATGTTCAGTGTCAGCATTGTCTAGTCAATAAGTCAAATTGTAGACAAAAACCTGTTTGGACAAGTCCTGAAAAATAAAAAGGGATTCTCCAAGAAAACCACAAAGCAGCTCATTTAAGGTCAATTTCACGGTATTATTCTGTTTTTCTTCCAGTCCCGACATAAGATTTCACTACCTCAAAGGAAATTGTAAGAGTATCTATTTGCATTCCCCCCAGGTGATTGGCAGTTCAACACCAATTAGTTCAAAATTACACTGTTACTAGCATGCAATAAAAACAACACCTTTCATCTTCCTTACACAGGTAAGAATACCTTCAGAGCCAATAACTTTGATCAAATGAGTATTTTTGATCCTGCCCCACCCATGTCTTTGGATTCAGGAAAACTAATAGCTGAAGGCATTCTTCCCAGCTTTATTCTTAAGCTGAAGAACTGGTGTGGTACTGAAAATATTTTGCTCCCAAGTTAACAGAATTTCCCAAACTTCAGCATTTCTTCAGTAACTGAACTGCCCTTATACTTTTTCCAATGCATAAAATAGTCTCAATATGTAAGATAACTTCAGATGTTCAAGGGCAGATATTATTTAATTTAAAATATACAGTGTATTTTAAAAGAAATATACATTTCAACTTTGGCATGTACATAATTCAAATAGCTTGATGAAATAAAATTATTTCCACAAATAATTCTGTACCTTAAATAGTTCATGGTACTAAACTTGGTCTCCTGTAAATATTATTTGGAAGTAGCAATCTCCAGCATAAACAGATTTTCTTCTTTATTTTTTAATTTAGCAAAAAAGGGGTAGATTAGAAAATCTGATCCAAGTAACTACAAAATTTTAATTGCTTACAACTTTAAATTTGACCAGCAATCCCATCTCCAAGAATGGGAGATTTTTCAAGTTCTGATATTATTTCAAGTAACTTGGGCAGAAAATCAACTGTTCAAGCCCAAGGCTCCTAATGGTTCACAGAGCAAAAGAACTGTCCCCAGAGATACCACACTCCACAAACCCAATGAATGAGGCACCTGGAAGCTGAAGCCTCATGTCCAAGTCTCCAGTCCATCTGTTTTTGTGTAACACTGAGGGTGTCTATAGAGGAAACACAGGGACACACATACAAGCCCCATTTCTACGTCTACTCCATTCATATTTATTAACATTATAATTTCTATTGGCTTCTGACATCACCTGACTATAACTATGAACCTGGTGTTCTAAGACTTCTGATAACCAATACAACTATGGACATGCAAACAAACATACTTTCACTATTAGTAACTACAATCAAAGGCAAAAATATTAAAACAACCAGTTTTAGGAATATTATAGAATGTCAGATATAATCAAAATAATGACTTGGTCCTTTTCTATTTCAGATACAAGCACTATAGATCAAGATTTTAAGACCACCCTTTATCCTTCATATTTGATTCTACCATTAGTAACGCTATCATTCACACAGACTGTGGTTGAAAGGGAACTGACACATACTAAATACACATTCCATGTTTTAAAATGTGAATTTTATAATACAACTTTTCTTATAAATTCCATAGACTATGACACATGGTCCACACTCTTCTGATTTGTTTTCCAAAGCTGTCCTCCTTACTAGCATTTTAGTTTATATTTCCCATCGTCCCTCATTTCCTCTTGTAGCAAATAATTTGTTTGGACTACATTGTATTGTCATGAAAGTGACTAACGGGCCCAAGAAGCCAAATAAATTATGGTATCTGTCACTGTTTCATCCCTATGTATAAAAATGCTTTTTGCAGATATAAAATCAGGTCTAGACTGTCTGACTGTGCCCAGACACTTTGCATAGGAACCCAGAGTTCAAGTCCAAGATATTTTCCCTATAGTGGCATATGTGTGTATGTGTCTATGTATATGCAGAGGCAAACAGATACAGTAACCTATACACAGTCTACTATAGTACTCT